AAAGATAAAAAAACATTTTTGATATAGAAAATGCATAGCACTGCACATCACATCGTTATGTTAAGATTAGCCAGTACATACCTATGAAAAATTTCTAGTTGAAAATGAACAAACCAGTGAATTCCGATCATTTCAGTCAGAATTCCCCGATTATGATTGGATGCCTAGTCGAGATAAAGAGATGTTCAGTCATAATGAGCAAACGGAATTTTTATTGATATGAATTTACTGGTTCATTCATTTTCAACCAGAAATTTTTCTCAGTGTACAAAATCATTAAAATAAAAGTCAAAACAGTGTTGTGATAAAAATTAAATTAAAATGACATGACTAGACTGAGTATTGAGTTCAGAGGAGAAATTTGTCATTGAAAATTGTCGAAAAAGATTTTCAACAAGCAGATATCGTCCACATCCGATATCTTTTTAGGCATAAGCGTATGCACTTTAAGTAAAATATTTAGGGCGGAAATTATTCCGCCGTGAGCTTCTTCCAATGACAATGTATCTCTTAACATTACACGATAGATACATTACGTTTTACGACTTCGAGAAGCGCACGTCGCGCACGAGCCGGGGATCAAAATCACTTGTTCCGTGGCTCCCCTTCGATTGACAATCGGCTGGAGGAAATCGTCGACAGTGGTGTCTTTATTCATGCGCCGCGACGCCGCCGCTGCGACGAGTAGGAGGAAGTTAAGTGGACAGGCAATTTCTCTGCGACAACAAATAGTAACGCGGATGGGAAAGGGCGGTGGCCACATGACGCGATTCCCACGTATCTCGCTGCATGCCACGGGTCTTGGAGAGAGTCCTACGTTTGCGCATCCCTTCTCGTCTCTTCGGCAAACTTTTCGCCCGAAGCTATCGTTCTTTCGCCGATCAGGGTGCGATCGTACCTTCGCCTGCACGATTGCATAACAAAATAAACATCGACGCGCGACTAAAATTAACGTCATGTTGAGCGACACGGAATAGCCCTTTCCATCCACGCGTTGTCGTTGACGAACACCACGTGAATTAATTAGCGAAAAGTCTTCTAAAATCTGATTATGTAGCTCCAAAATCTAATTATCATCGTACGCGAGAAATAGAATATGAAAGAGATAAACCCTCATCTACGACTAGGAAAATTATACCTAAATTCTAAAGCTTCCTATATTGAAGTGCAAAATGCAAGTAAAGTTCCACTTTATGCGATTGACAGAGGAAAGTTTAAACTTTCTTTTACCTACAATTTAGAGCCTAATATTATCAAACGTATATACAGATCATACAACTGTCTAAAATTTCTTTTCGGGTACAAATAACGAGGTCACGTCAGATAAATATATCAATGAGTAGACCGTAGGACCTCGCGGAATTATCCGTGAGAAACTGCGAGATCAAAAGGAAAGTGAATCTCGGTCTTGTAGCTGTGATTAATAAACGGAAACGTTTGTTTTACAAGCGGACTACTAATAAAAGTATTCAACGGCACGAGTCGTCGCGCTCTGCTCCCTCCGTCCACATCCTTTGTTTCTATTTCCATCTATGGACCACGCCAGCCTCCAACCCCGCGGTGTTCTCGCGTCGTTGTCCCTCTCGCGTTCGGCGGCTTTTCGTGTAGCGCGGATACACGCCTACAACGGATAGAGGCAGCCGCGCTGGACGTAGGTACGTAGGGACCTAACGGACAGATCCGTGTTTCCATGGAAACCCACCTATCTGCGTCGGTTGGACCTATACTGCCTGCTGCCACCCTGATAAGCGGCTTACTCTCATGGTTCTCTCTACTCTTCTTCGCCGGAGCATCCCCCGACCCCCCTCCAACCACTCCATCTCCTCGACACTCTGCCCCCGGCACCCCGTGTCTCCCGCCGCCGAACCCCCTTTCGAGCGGTGGGTGAAAGAGAGCGAAACGGTGAAAGACGGACGGGAAAGAGAGGCGAGGTGATGCTGCTTTCCGCCGAATCGTGCCGCTAAAGGAAAGCGACGCGAAAGCATGCTATCTTCGTCGTGCTTTCTCTTTCTCTTCTCTCTCTCTCCTCTCCTCTCTCTCTCTGCCCTTGTTCTACTCTATACTCACGCTCTATCTTTTTCTCTCTCTTGCTTTTTCAGTAGCACGCACACCCTCATCTCCGCCTTCTTCCCGCGATCTCTTTTCGTCTATGCACATTCTGTGGCATACTGGAAAATTTATGCAGTCAATTACCGACCCAGCAACACGACCTTCGAGAATGGAATATCGCGAACACGAAGGGAATTCTCTCTCCGAAACCGCTGCTTCTTTCTCTGTTTGGCGCGCCATGGTCGATCCTCTGAGATTTGCCATTCGCTGGGTGCTTGGGAAATGTCGAGTCTCTGCAGGGAGAAATTCCAAGCTTCGTCCGACCACGAAAGGCATAATGGATGATCGCGATTGTTCTTGTTATCGAAGCTCCCTCGAATCTCGTGCCGATGTCGCGAAAATATTCCGCAATCCCGAAGCGAACAAAACACGCTTTCTCAATTGTCCATTACAAGAACATAGTTCTAAACGTTGCATATATTTCGTAATAAACGTATTAACGAATGTATACAATTGTTTATATGATATTTGAATTTTTTGTATTCATTCGGAAACTTAAAACTTGCAAGGGATGTGCACTCTTGTGCGTGTTTTTCGCCAACTTGCTACGACAGCTATAGTTAAGAAGCCCCGAGATTGCTCGACACACTCATATGGCTTCAGTCGATGCATCGATTTGCATGGCAATCAATAACGGCGAATATGACGTTCATGTGAAATACTTTTACAGTGACGAGAGACTAGCAAAGTACTTAACATACTAATAAATAATCCACATATGAGCTAATAATGATAGTTTTTAATTCGCACGCAATACAAGGGAAAAAAGGGCCTGCAAATTGAGCAATGCTATAGGGGCGTGATGGAACGTAAGGGAGACACAAGATAAAAAAGAGGGATTTATTTTATGTGTGTACAATAGACTTTAAAAGCTTTTCTTGCTGTTGAATGTGCTGTGAATATCAAATTGCTGGATAATTTAGGTACATTACACATTTCCTCCGTTTTAAAATATTTACTTCCAGTACACGTTACATCAGTCTAATAAAAGAGAAATCAGACTCGTTAGAATATTAAAATTTAACATATTTAAGAAAATAGAAAAATTTATTTCAAAAGTAAAAATTTATAATGATGATATTTCTATGTTTATTGAAAGCAATATGATAAATAGGTACATATATTCAAAATTTGATATTCAGAACAAAAGAGAAATCAGGCTCGTTAAAATATTAAAACTTAACCAATTCAAATATTAAGAATTAACAAATTTAAGAAAATAAAAAAATTTATTCTAAAAATAAAAATTTATAATTTTTATATTTATTAAAAACACGTAATAAATATATATTTTCAAAATTTGATTCAGAATTAATTGTGAATGTTTCGTTATAAATTGATTTTGTATAAATGCTCATAACTTGCATTACAAATGATTAAAAATTTAATGTAACAATTTATTTCCTGCACATATAAAAACGTCGGAAAAATTAAATCAATCTATTAGGAAGCGGAAAAATTACAATTTCCAATGGAGCCCTCCCTTAAGCGCAGAGAGATTATCCGACGGCGTTTGTTGAATGAATACGACGCAAAATCTGTCACACTGTTGTAACGCCGAGTCGCACAGATTAAACACTCGTCTTTTATTTCAATGGATTAGCCGGATAGATCGATCATCATCGGAAACCTCGCTCATCTTTTCTCCGTTTCGCGATATTTCATAGTTCATTAACGCTTTTTTCCGCGAGAAGCATTTTCAGAACCGTATTAAACACGATACGGCTAACAACACGGATACCACGAACGGTACCGCTGTCGCCACCTCACGATTACGTGAAAACTTTTCCGCATGCACATCAGTATCGAACCGTGCGAATCCCTTGCTATTACGACCCGAATACATACATTCGGTCTTATTATTGCCAATAACTGAGCCTACCGTTATTCTCGAGCAGGAACGTGCAGACAATACTATTTCTTTTTTCAACGTCAAGTAAAATATTCCCCGCAAGTAGGATATAGTATTTAAATTAATTACTATTACAAATGACTTGTTAAAAATTCAATTCGCTTTGTTCGATCTTAACTCCAGTTCGAGAACTTTAATTACCTATTCTTTAAGTATTATATCTATGATTTGTGATTATTCTGATATCAATCCCAATCTTATATAATGTTGCATGCCGTATAACCCATTGACCGTCATAAAATGTCATGCACAGACTTTTACGCATCAGTTTCAGTGAGTTCAATTTTCGATGCCATAGATACCAGAAAATATATATCTTACTTTTCAAATCGTCGTAAAGAAACACAGATTTTACCGTTGACTTAAATTTTACCGCGTAAATTTTAACTAAAGTTTAATGTTTTATTGACAATTATTACCGTTTAATGAATAAGTTTATGATTATGGTAAAAGTTTGCAGTTAATCTTATCGAAAAAAAAATAAATAAATTTATGATTTTTAATTATGATTAGATTTGTGTGTCTATAAAAGCTAGGTTCCACCAATGTAAGATTAACTTAGTTTACACTGTTTATCTTTTTCTAATTCTTAGAAAATTTACTATTTGTCTTTTTCTGTAATTCTTAGAATTAGAAAAAAATAAAGAGAAAATTGAACCAAGATTAGAGTTAATTTAACATTGGTGGAATCGAACCCGTTTCTATGTAGATTAACTTTAACTTAGTTTAATTTTTTTTTATCCTTTTCTAGTTCTAAAAATTAAAAAAAGAATAAAGAGTAAGTCAAATCAAAGTTAATCTACATTGGTAGAAATTGACATTAGACACACGAATATAATCGTAATTAAAAATTATAAATCGATTTATTTTCGATAAGTAAAAGTAATTCATTTTCGATAGTTCTAACTGTAAACTTTTGATGGAACTGAGTCTAAGCAGCGAAAATGGAACTCGTCTTGGAAGAAAATAAGCGTTTTACCTTGTGGGAATGCGGCTGCCAATCCATGCTCGAGCGCATGATGCGTATGAGCGTGCGGGGTGAGGGCGAAGTGCGACGGCAAACCGGGATGCGCACCGGGATGCGGATGCGAGTGAGGATGCGGATGGGTGCCGACTCCCATCGGATGACCGTGTGGATGGTATTGATGAGGGTTTCCGGTCGAGGCGCAGGTTGCGCCCGCCGCTTTCAGGTAACCCGCCATATTCAGGCAGCCCGCGATTCGAGAAACCAATTCACCCGCCACCGCGCCGTTGTTATCACGCTCCCTTATCGCGTGACTCCCTTCGTTCTGGTCGCTCGGCCACCAGCTGTTCTCTACCCGGTGAGCGTATAATGGCTGCCTTGCGTTTTCCTCCGATAGGAAGTCTCGGCGTGAAGTCTTGCGCTGTCCTCCGATAGGAGGTCTTGGCGTAAAGTCTTGCGGCAGTACACTGCCGTAGTGATAATCTTCCTTGATCTGTAAAAGAATCAACGTTTAGTAAAATTTCACGTAATTGTTCACGCTTTTGCAATTTTAATTTTGTTAGCCGTAAGTGATGATTAATCGATTTTGTTAACCGAAGTGATAATTAATTGAACTGATTTGTCATGAAAATTGCAGATAAAAAGCTCTAACAATCTTTCTTAACGCTTGGGAATAAAAAAATAAAAGTAATAGAATTCAACGTCTCAGATTTGAAAATTTTCTAAGTTTCCACGGATTTAAATTCTATGTAGACAGAAACTCATTGAAAATTATAAAACTATTCTTCGAACTCTGAGGAAAATTTTAATTTTCGAAATATATGGAACAAAAGTGGAAAGTGAAAGATCATTGAGTCTTTTATTTGTGCATGTCGTATTTTCATTAATAACACAAATCGCGTTTCCCTTAATACAATGATTTTTCTGTCCTTTACTGCACACACAATGGATTATTCTTGTCTAAGTTAATTTTCATCACGTTTACAAGTAAACAATTATTATAAGTAATTTTTACGTATACTTTAATATCTTTAGAAAATATATGTAAAATGTGTAATAAAAAAAAGATATCATTATTTAATCAGATGCTATTAGTATTTGAAAGAAAAAAATGCACAGGACACGAGTGACCTAATCGTGTGTACTAAGGATTAATTCAAAGTACAAAAAAGAGGCCTTAATCCACCTTTCTTTCTTAATCCTCTAAAAACGAGTATTGCAAATTTGCAGTGTTCACTTTAAAATTAAATTCAGGACAAATTCAGACTAAAATCAAGATCTGTGCAAATTATACTTAAGAACTGATGTTGAAAATGTATGTAACATTGAACACTAAAATACAGTATACTGCTATCTACTTTTATTCGCGAGAAAGGCTATACGTCGATACACACACACACACGCGCGCGCGCGCGCGCGCGCACACACATACATTGTAAAAAATAAAATATTAATTTTAATTTAAAGACGTATAGTGGATTTTCTGAGTCATATAAGAATGTTAAAATTAACATAAAAATGTTAATTTTTGCATGCTTAGAAAATCCACTATACACCTTTAAGTTAAAATTAACATTTTATTTTTTTACAGTAAAGGGTCAAGAACTTTACTTTTTTTTTTCAAATTTTGGGAAGGTATATAATATTAATTTTTACAAAAATATGCTACTATCTTACACATGGCATGTGTAGCTCCTTTTCATCCTTGTAGTACGGCGACATCGCAATATTATTTAACGTTAATGTAATTTGGTTAACGTTATATCTCTTCGGCAAAAATTTTGAAAGCAGTGGGTCGATTCGGTGATATGTTCGAAAATAATTTTTCGAAAAATTTCGAAGTGTGTGTTGTGCCAATTGTTGAACAAAGATTTTTCTAAAACAAGGCAAAAAAGTTGTAATGATATTGCAAATAAATTAATGAATTGTGAATAACGAATGAACAATGAATGCAACTTGTTAAAAATAAGTATTATAGAGATTCGTTCACGCCAGTTCGTTCGCGATACAAAAAAAATTTTTGAATAATTTTTTTTGTTATTTGTTTACTTTGTTTATATTTTTGGAGATACGTGCTGTAACAAAAGAGGCTTGCCGCTCAGTACGATTAACTCGCAATCTATAGATCCATGTTCAATTCTACCTAGATGATTTTTCGCGTTTAAAGAGCCGAAAATTACACTGAGAAAAAGAAGTTATTAATTTGACTAAATGCGTTTAGTTCGTAATGAGTATTTAGTTCAAATATTTATATATTTAGATTAACAAAATCTTGTAATTTAAAACATGTTATTTGTTTGAATTAATAAATATTTTGTTGAATTAACAAATATTTGCTTGATAGCCTGTGACCGCTACATTTAGTTGAATTAACTAATATTTTTTTGAAACAGCAACTTTTTTTCTCAGTGTACTTTATCTGCAGGTGATTAAGAGATCTTTGATCATCAGCTCCGTTCCGATCCGGCGTTTAATTGGTCCTATATATCCACTGATAGTTGAACTATCAGCTAACAACCTAATTCTGGAAAAATCTCTTATTATTGAAACCTCATTAGGACTCTATGCTACACGCAGGAGTTAAAGAAATATATTATTACTATAACAAAAAAAGAAACGATCGAAATAATCAACGCAACATTCGTTGAAACCTTATTCTGTAGCTCTTAACGCAGATTTCGTTATCGTTATAATATCATTGCGCAGCATTTTTATCATGATAAAAAAACTGCGCAACGATGTTATAACGAAACTTAAGTTAAGTGTTAGAGAATAGCTCTGCTGATCTTTAAATAATGCAACAGAATTTCGATTATCCCCGATTATTTAAAAGGATATTTTAGTATCTATATAGATATAGAGATTCCGTTTTTGTGGTTACTTTTTAATAAAATAAAATCCTATCACATCTATCAAATCCTACTAGCTATGTATAATATTGATGTTTTCCACACGTATTTATTTCGAGTAATTCTTGAAATTTTGTAAAGTAATTTGCGTCAATATTGTAAGAGTTGCAGTTATCTTGAAACATCTATGACACATCTATGACACGAATTATGCTAATCCTAATCGGAGGAAAGGAGTATCAGAAACAATCCAATTTTTTTTAATCTATAGGAACGTATTTAAGTATATCTCAATCCAAAATGAAGATAAAATAAATTTTGTTTTAATGGCGATTTTTGAAAATTTGTTAAAATTAAAATTTTGAATTTTCTAAAAATTTATCAGTTTTTTTTTGACAATCTGCGAAAAAAATATTGCATATATCAGTTTAATTTTGGTTTGAGATATAACTACATTTCTATAAATAAAAAAAAATTGATTGTCTATACTTCAGACTAGGACCAGTGCAATTCATATCGCAGGCATTTTATAACATGGCATGCGGTGTGCAACTCTTATAATAGCTGTATGTCCGATATTTATTGTGTATGTACGTAAAATCTATAGTGCATGTAATATATGCTAGAAAATATCGAAACACAACCAATATTGACGCACATCACTTCAAAAAATTTGAAGAATTACTTGAAGTACAAATAAATACATAAAAAAAAAATCTCAATACTTTTTTTATTTTAATTCCTAAAAATATCGATTAGAATATCTCTTAACTATTCATTTATCCAAAATATATCATTTGCTAAAAGGTAACATTTCATGTCCATTCATTACGTAACGCTGACCTGCTTTGTGAATTTGATGATTTATGATGTATTAATACGACAAAGCGTTGACATGAGTATTCTAAGGAACTATTTTTTTTTTGTTTGACTCGTCAGATCTTGCCGCCAATTTCCTTTTTCTCTAATGTCCAAAATAGTATCTTCGTTTAGATACAAGAAGAAGGTACAACTAGCAATTTAAGAAAGGAAATAAAGGGCTATAACTTCAGGTAGTGTCGGTCCCTGTTAATCGACGTTAGCATCGGTGTTAACAAAATAATTTCGAACAAGTTGTCGTTTAAAGAAAATGAAATCTCGAATACAGTCGATGAATCGTGCCAACATCACTTTGGCAAAATCACAAGTAATATCTGTTCTCGTATAATATTTAATAATCTATCAATTTTTTTCTCTTTTTTCTTTTCTCTCTCTTTTCTTTCTTTCTCTTAAAACAAATTTTTTTTTAATAATCTATCACTGTATTATGCACATCACTGCGATCCTCACTGAAACACTGTTCTGCAGTTCTGTCACGCCTGAAACTGCACATTCCGAATCTAAAACTCTCTTTTATTCCGCTGTCTCTCAACTGTCATTTTCTTCTACCTGATACCAGTAGAAGACAGGTTTCTGTTTTCTTGAAAAAGAAAACTGACCGGTGGTGGGGAGCGTACAAATGGCTAGTTCCGTCCAGTTTCGAAATACAAATGGAAACATCATGACGAATCTGAATTTGAACTACGAAAAGGCTTATTAAATAACTTAACCATTAAGTTATAACCTTTACTTAAAACAAAGATGAATGACATATGTATAAATAACTATTTTGCAATAATTGTGAAATCCGCGCGAATCGATCGTCTACGAAACTCGTTAAGAAAAAATAAAATCGCATTAATCGACATTGATCAATATAAAGGAAAATCGTCGATACTGACATAGGTCTCCTAAAGTGACACCCCTTATTTTTCAGAAACTAACTATTGCACTTTATTAACCCTTACCGTATCATCTACAATTTGGTGCCTCATCCATACCATCAAGGGTCACTTCAAATCTCTTCGTTTTTTCACCTCTTCAAAATAATTCAAAAAATCTCTAAAAATTCACCAACATACTTTCAACTTTCTAGAATAAATATTGACTCTTTATTTTAGAAAATAATAAAATGTAGTATAATTTATAATTACCGAAAGACTCAAAGAAACTTGCACGAACAGGAATCTCTCGGTCACTAGTTATCCATATTAGTACAGTAAGGGTTAATACTAATAAAATCATGATCTGTTTAGCTAATTAAACAAGTACAAACTCATAATTCATATATTTGTGTCTTATTTCTATACCAAATCAGTTAAAAACCAATTCTATGAATCCGAGAAGAAAATTCTTACGGTGTTCTTTTGCAAATTGTGTAATTAAAATAATAGTAAGTGTATTATTGATAATATTATGTCATTTTAAATGTTTATGGTTTCATAAATTAGTTTTCTTTACAGAATAGGACATATCTTTATTTATAGAATAGAAATGTTGGCATTATTGCCTACTATGTCAGTTTTGAAGCCCATTTTGTCAGACGCTCATTTTTACATAATTTACGAAAAACTTAATTATTTCAAAATTGCAAAGAGTATTATAAAAATTGCTTATACTATCTGATAGAAGACACTTTTTACTTTGTATTTATATTTTTGAAGTTGTATTTTTACCTTTTATTTAAGAAATATTGTCTAAAAACAAAGTGGTATGTCGGTATCGGTGACTTTCCTCTATTAATATCACGGTTCAACATACATAATGATGAAAATACGACTGTTGACTCGATTGGTTTGATCATCTCTTTACGTTACGTGAAACGCGGCGAAAAGTTGGAGTCAGAGGTCTATTCTTTGCGGTTAAACTAGCGTACACTTGTACTTGAAATTTAGGGAAAGCAAGATAGAACGTTTTAGTGTATCTAATGAGCGACAAAGAGCAGATCTAACGTGCTGTAAAATCGACGGTCAGCGTCACGTGCTAAACCGGAAGTATCTGATGGGAGTGGGGAGGAAGCGTGCCGAAAAGTCGGCTTTAGCCGCGTGAAACTTAACTCGGCGCTAAACGCTTAAATAAACTTCGAGATGCGTTTTTATCCGGCCAGGAAAGGGAGATGCGACGGGGAAAGGAACCGGGAGGCAGACGCGCCACGTAGGTAGGTATGTTTACACGGGGGCATTATGGCGGATAATGTTTGTTATAGGCGTCTATGCCGCGCAGCCGCGAGAGGCGAGACTATCCGACGTTAAAAGGCCAGCTTGGCCGATCCGCTTACGGCGGATGAGGCTTAAATTGAGTGAGAGATAGTGAACTCCCTGTGCAACGAGTACGACGCGCGAATGCCGCGCGTGCGGCTGCTGTCGCACATGTCGCTGCGCATCGTCTGCTCGTTGCTAATCTAACCGACAACCCCGCGATTATTCTTATATGGATACTCGTGCTTATGCTAGTAACAACAAGTAAGAGAGCATTGCGATGTATTGTATGATAAGGAAGGATTGGAGTCATATCCCCCGGCAAATTCTGCCGTACATAGGTATGCGTCTCTCTGGTTGTGGTGAGAGCGAAAATAACTTCACGCCCGTTGTCTCAGCTGGATGCAGTTTACTTGATGCTTCAAACACTTCGAAACATTTGATTGACTAATCAGAAGAATTTTATTAATTGCTCAATCAAAGAAATATCGATCATATTTAATCCTTATCATGTACAATTTGGTGCCTTATCCATACCATCAAGGGTCACTGGAATCTCTTCGTTTTTTCACCTCTTCAAAATAATTCAAAAAATCTCTAAAAATTCACCAACATACTTTCAACTTTCTAGAATAAATCTTGACTCTTTATTTTGGAAAATAATAAAATGTAGTATAATTTATAGTTACCGAAAGAAACTTGCACGAATCGCTCGGTCACTAATTACCCATATTGGTAAGGTAAGGGTTAATATCTAAATTCGACAGCTATCATAACTGGTTTCATTCCTGGTTAGGCACAATTCAATTTCAAATATAATATAT